ACAAATGGCAAAAACATGCTCTGGGGGCCCAATTGGTAATATTTTTTCATTCTCAAATATAGAATAATATTGGACCTTTAACGGTTTTAAGTGAAGATTTATTTGCATTAATATGTTCTACATAATGGTAGTAACTCAGCTTCCTCTTACCCTTCATATTTCAGTAATGTTTTATTATTAAAACCTATTTTTGATTAACGCTGAAAACAAAACTATATTTGCTATGTACTTTTTGTATATTTCATTTATTTGACAGTTTTTTTGCGTACTGTGGTCTTTTTCAAGACTAAAAAAGGTTCTGTTTGAATAAAAAGTGGGATGTCAGTGTGTAAGTTCTTTTGTTCAACACAAGTGAGACATGGATACCATTTTTGTTTCAGTCTCTAGACATCAAAGGCTACGTTCACACTGCAGGCCTTGATGCTCAATTCTTTTGTGAAATCAGATTGTTTTGCGCTGCCGTTCACATTTCCAAATATATGCGACATGTATGTGATCTCGTATGTGAACTGCAGTCATACAACGCAAGTATCCCGCATGCGCAGTAGAGGATGCAACGATGTCACTGGCCAGCGTGCTCCATGTTTCGGAAGTAAACATGGATGGTAGTGCCGGAGCGCATCTAGCGATCTTTCCCAACCATAAAAACACAATCTCTTCAATATGGTTAAACATGAATACTGCTCTCCGCATCATCGTCTGCCATGGTTGTTGTTTTTCTAGCCGTTTCTTCATAGTAAGACACAGAATTGTGACCTTTGTCGGGAATTAATGGGGTTCAGGTCGGATGAATCCGACCTGGCCGTTCAGACACAGGTCGCAATTGAAAAGATCAGATTCGTATCGGATTCAGGACCACATACTGTAGCCAAGTGGCCTGGGTCACATTGGAAAAAATCGGATCTGTGTTGTTCAGACTGTCATGAAAAGATCAGATTTCGGTTGCATATGGGCCAAAAAAAAAATCGGATTTGGTTCACTTCAGGCTGCAGTGTGAACGTAGCCTAATAGACTTAAAGAGTATGCATGACTGATACATATAGGCCCATCTTCATACCTGACTGCATCATAGTCAGTTAAATGCTTTAACTTTGCGTGTCTTAAAGGACATGATCAATAACAGAAAAAAAACGTTAAAACTGTTCAACCCGGTCCTTTATTCAAATAGGGTGTAATCTCAATATAATGCAAAAAAGAAGAAAGACTCAGGGTTCTTCCCTCTGCTTGGTTTATTTTTAAGTTTGTGTTCTGTGTCTTTGTATTATTTCTACCAGTACTGAGTTCTTTAATTATCCTCTCTTGCCCCCTTGTGCTTGTTTTTTCATTTCCCCTGGGCTTCCTCCAGGTTGGTCTTTCTCACACCTGCTCGCAGTCAGCTCGTTAGTCCTGCCTTTGTTCAGTCAGTCATAAATACCTTCCCTGTGCAGTTCCTCAGTGCTGGTTCCTCGTCTTTCCCCGTCCTTCCCCAATTCCTTGTGCTTGTTTGCATGATATCTCCACGGTTCTGGTTTGTTTTACATTTTCATGTTGGATTTTTGGATTCCTACCTCAGTTGTCTGTGATCACTAAATCTTCAAGAAACTCACCTCTGCCTCTCTGCCTCTGCAATTGGGTCCTCACAACCACAACCTAACCTTGACAGAAAGCATTTCCAGGTTATTATTCAAATATTTTTATTGGATATTGAATTGTTCATATAAAATAACAGCCAAACAATAACCCCAATATTAAAAATAAACTCCAATAACATTGTCAAAAATAAAAAAATAAATAAAAAAAAAATAGAAAAATCCCTACTCCTCCTCCCACTGTGTCTTAATATGATTAATTGACGGTGAAGCGATCCTCTGGATATCCTCATATAATCTGCTCACTCTCCTCCAACCACTTGTCTACCCAGTCATTTGGTGGGAGTAACAGAAAGGAAGGAAAATGTTTCCGAACAAAGACGCGCACCTGTTATCTGAAATAGTGGGAACTGGGGATATTATACTCATTTTACAGTTGCTCGAATGACATGAACACACCATCCTTAAAAAGATCCCTCACCCTTTTCAATCCATTCCTGGACCATAATTTAAATGCTGAATCCATGAGTGAGGGTGGAAAGAGTGCATTGGCCGAGATTGGCATAGAAGGTATAGTCAAGGATCCTTCATTTCTCTGGAAACGTGAGTCAACAAACAGAACCTCTCCTTCAAGATCAACGAAACAAATTTCCCACTGAGCCTGAACTAAAAGTCTGTCTTCCCCTCGCCTTCCAGTTCCAGCTGAGCAGAGTTCGGAGAAACTGCACCGAGCTTAAATCTCTTCAAATAAACCCGTTGAACTTTTATTCTGTGTCTCTCTGTTTGGCTTCACTGCATGTGGGTCCGAGTCTTAGATAAAATCATGACACATTGCAGGGGTTATAAATGCAACAATGGAAATTAAGTCAAAACAGAAATAATTCAAGTGAAAGCAGCAACAACAATGTAACATGTAAAATTAATTGATTAACATGGGAGGAAGTGAGACATGGCCTCATTGCTGAGATCAGTCAGGAGGTAGCATGGATAGGATAGCTACACTGTGGTCTCGCTTCTTCAATGGAATGCAGGGGGTTTAATATCAAATGGACAGGGATTAAAGCATTATATTGATGAATTAGAAGAAGTTCCAGGGGTTATTTGTATACAAAAAACTTGGTTAAAACCCCAATTAATATTCAAAATCTTAAATGCTTCTGCTATTAGATTTGATCGGATTAAAGGTAATGCTGGGGGATGTGCCATTTTTATTAGGGAAGGGCTACAGTTTAGAGTGGTTAAGAGAGGAAAAGAGGAGGAATTCGTAATGGTCGAGATTTTGATAATTGCAGATCCGTTCATTTTAATAAATTATTACAATCCATGTAAAAGATTAGAGTTGGATAAATTAAAAGAAATTCAGGGACAAAATAGAAATAAAGTTATTTGGTGTGCAGATTTTAATATCCATAACAATTTATGGGAACAGGGAACTGATACATATGAAGATATGATAGAACAGCAGTAGGAAGATAATCAATTATTGTGTATGAATGAGGGGAGGGAAGAA